TGGGCAAGGCAAAGATCACAGATGCCAAGGGTGATGACTATACCAAGGTCACTTTCAAACCAGACTTTGCTAAATTCGGCATGGATGGCATTGACGATGACTTTGAATCCCTCGTTAAGCGCAGAGTCTACGACTTGGCGGGTACCGCCAATGTTGCTGTCAAATTAAACGGCACACGCGTCGCAGTTCGCAATTTCCGAAAGTACATGGAAATGTACACCAAAGCCATTCGCAAGGAGCGCGGTGACGACGGCCCTCCCGCAAAGGATGAAATTATTACATGCAGCCCCGATCCTCGATGGGAGATTGGTTTTGCTGTTTCGGATGGTTCGTTCCAACAGGTCTCGTTTGTCAACTCGATCGCAACAACCTCGGGTGGAACGCACGTCAACTACATCGCCGATCAGATCTGTACCCGCTTGGCCGACCAGGTGAAGAAGAAGAACAAGTCTGGAGCAACTCTGAAGTCAGCCCAGATTCGGAACCACATTTTCATTTTTGTAAAGGCATTGATTGTCAACCCAGCGTTCACCTCCCAAACCAAGGAACAGTTGACGACCAAGGCCAGTCAGTTTGGTAGCAAGTGTCCCCTTGATGAAGATTTCTACAAGAAGGTCTTGAAGACCGAGGTTATGTCAAATATTCTGCACTTCGCGGAGCAAAAAGCCGATCAGATCTTGAAGAAGGGTGATACTGGCCGACGCACCCGTATGAACAACCCAAAGTTGGTCGACGCCAACAAAGCTGGTACCAGAGAGGGTCACCACTGCACTCTCATTTTGACTGAGGGTGAATCGGCCAAGGGATTGGCCATGGCAGGCAGAGCAGTTGTTGGACCAGACTTGTTCGGTGTTTTCCCCCTGCGCGGAAAGCTTCTTAATGTTCGTGATGCTTCTTTTGACCAAATTTCAAAGAACGTGGAGATCCAAAGCATCAAGAACTTCATTGGTCTCCAGCACAAGAAGGAGTACACTGACACCAAGGGACTGCGATATGGCCACCTCATGATCATGACTGATCAGGATCACGACGGCAGTCATATCAAGGGTCTGCTCATCAATTTCCTTCAAGCGCAGTTCCCCAGCTTGCTCAAGATTCCTGAATTCCTCATTGAATTCATTACTCCTATCATCAAGGTTTGGAAGGGCGACCCAAAGAACCCGACCAAGCAGAAATCCTTCTTCACCATGCCCGAACATGACGAATGGCGTGAAGCTCACAAACACGAACGCGGCTGGGACCACAAATACTACAAGGGTTTGGGAACCAGCACCACAGAAGATGCACAGGTCTATTTCCGCGACCTCGATCGTCACCTCAAAGAGTTCCACACTATGCAAGACGGTGAAGCCGGGCTCATCGAACTGGCTTTCTCTAAAAAGAAGGCAGATGAGCGTAAAGAGTGGCTTCGTCAATATAAGCCCGGCACATATCTGGACCATTCTGTGGCGAAGATCACATACACAGACTTCATCAACAAGGAGCTCATCCTGTTCAGTATGGCAGATAACCAACGTTCGATTCCTTCCGTCGTGGATGGTTTGAAGCCAGGTCAGCGCAAGGTGCTTCACACCTGTTTCCGCCGCAATCTAAAGAAGGACATGAAGGTGGTTGAGCTAGCAGGTCATGTATCCGGAATGACAGCCTACCACCACGGTGACGTCTCCCTTCAGCAGACTATCGTCGGTCTGGCCCAGACCTATGTTGGCTCCAACAATATCAACTGCCTAGAGCCCAGTGGAAACTTTGGTAGCCGACTTCAAGGTGGTGGTGATTGTGCCAGTGCTCGTTACATCTATACTCGCCTGTCCCCCTTTGCACGCAAGATTTTCCATACGGCCGATGAACCTCTACTAACATACAACGAGGACGATGGCAAGAAGATCGAGCCCGAGGTCTTTATGCCTGTCGTCCCGATGATTTTAATCAACGGCGCGGATGGTATCGGAACTGGTTGGAGTTCTTCTATCCCCAACTACAATCCTGAAGATGTTGTGAACAATCTCAAGCGCCTCATGGCTGGCGAGCCTACTGAGCCAATGCAGCCTTGGTTCCGTGGGTTCACCGGCGAGGTTGTGGCCGTTGGTGGGGATCGCTACAAATTCAGCGGTATCATCAGGGAGTGTGGTGACAAGGAGGTCGAGATTACCGAATTGCCCATTCGAACCTGGACACAAGATTTCAAGGACAAGCTGGAGGAAATCATCAAGGCGGAGAAGGTGCCATCCTTCATCAAGGATTACAGGGACTACAACACCCACACCAAGGTCCACTTCATCATTCAGCTCGACGAGAAACACATGAAGGCTGCTCTGACTGAAGGCTTGGAAGAAAAATTCAAGCTGAGCAAGTCGATTGCAACAACCAATTTGGTGGCTTTCGATCCCGAGGGTCGCATCACCAAGTACGCCACTGTTGATGATATTCTCAAGGAGTTCTATGTCGTCCGTCTCAAATATTATGAGCGACGCAAGCAGTTCCAACTTAACGACCTACAGAGAGAGCTGGAGAAGCTGAGCAACCAAGCTCGCTTCGTGCAAATGATTATCGATGGCAAATTGGTCATCTCCAAGAAGAAAAAGCCTGTTCTAATCACTGAACTAAAGGAGAAGGGCTTCAAGCCAATTTCCAAGGTGGCCGAAGCTGCCAAGATGGGCGAAGATGAGCCTGTGGTAGAAGAAGAAGAAGAAGAAGAAGAAGCAGGGGAGTCGGATGACACTGAGGCTCAAGTGCTATCCGGCTCATTTGACTACCTTCTGGGTATGCCTATGTGGTCGCTGACCCAAGAGCGTGTGGAGAAGCTCCGTCGCCAGATTGGTGATAAGGAAACAGAGATCGACGTCTTGATTAAGCTGTCCAAGGAGGACATCTGGACCCACGATTTGGAGGATTTCATCAAGGAGTGGCGCTTCCAGCTTGAAGATGAGGACCGTCGAGCTCGCAAGGCGGCTAGCTTAGGCCGCCGTCAGTCAACAAAGCTGGCCACTGGTGGTGGTCGCGCCGCGGCTTCGCGCAAGCGTAAGGCTGCTAATGGTGATGATCCGGACGACGAAGACTTCGGGGCCCCTAAGACGAAGAAGGCTGCCGCGGCCAAGAAAAAAGAGCAGCCCAAAAACAGCTTGATGAATTTCCTCAATCAAGCCCCGAGCAAACCAACACCACCGGCTGCAGCAGATGGAACTGTTGACTCGGACGATGAATTCAACATGGACATGGAGATCCTTCCGAAGAAGAGCCGTGCTGCCTCAAAGCCTAAGACTCTGCCTAAAGAAGAAGATGACTTTATCGATATCGACGATGTTCCCCAAACCTCGCGGGCATCAGCTCAGCCAGCTGATGACACGATGGACGTGGACGTGGACGAGGTGCCAAAGCCTAAACCAGCCGCCAAGGCAGCGGCCAAACCGGTCGCCAAACGAGGACCTAAGCCCAAGGCCAAGATCGAGGAGGACTCGGATGACGATTTCTTAGAGATTGCCAAATCCCAGGCTTCCAAGCCTGCAGCGCTGTCTTCTCGCGCTCGCAAGCCTGTGAAGTATTCGGCGCCTAGCGACTCTGATAGTGATAACGGTGATGATCTTCTTGGAGACGTTAGCATGATGGTCAAGGGCATTGGTGGTGACTCAGCCACTGATTCTCGACAACTCTTCTCGGAGCGCCCCCGTTCGGAAAGCAGTGCAAGTGTGAAGACTGCCGCGAAGTCTTCCAAGGTCAACGACGATTTTGATCCGGATGAGACGGACTACAGCAAGCTCATTCCTCAAAACTCCCCACGGCGCTCCATTCAGGTCAAGCCTAAGGACGTCAAGCCCGGCGACAACGACGGAGAAGACGATGAGGATCAACCAGTCAAGCCAACTGCTCGGGCTAAGGCTGCCCCCAAGGCCAAGGCCGCGCCAAAGGCTGCTCCTAAGGTCGTAGAGGTTGATGACGAGGATGACGAAGATGATGAGCCGATCAAGCCAACTGCTCGGGGTAAAGCTGCACCCAAAACCAAGGCTGCCCCGAAGGCCGCGGCCGCCACCTCGGCACCCAAGGCCCGTGGTCGCCCTAAGAAAGAGCCAGCTGCAAAGCCCGCCCCCAAGTCTGCTCCTCCGACTTTATCCCCGGCGGCCAAGGCCTATGCTTCTAAGCAAGCCAAGGCAAGCAAGAAGATCGCAGATGATTATTCGGAGGATGACATCGATGCAATGGCTAACGACATTTTGGATTCACCAATGGGCAAAGCAAATGTGGATATTTTGGACGACGATGAGCCCGTTCCCGCCCCCCCGTCGCGCCGCTGCAGGCCGTCCTGCTCGTCGTGGCGCCGCACAGCAGAAGAAGTCCTATGTCATCGAGGATGATAGCGATGAAGAAGCATCGGCTGATGACTTTGACGAAGACGAAGATGAGAGCGACTAAATGGTGGAATAGTGAGGGTCAGAAGCCCATTTGCGATGTTCCCCTCGTGTTTTTGCAATTCCCTCTATTGTGTTTTTATTTCTTTCGTCTCCATGTCTTAGTTTATTGGTATTTTATGGAGATCTTGCAGAGCCAATGCATGCAAGGTGAATACGAGATGTTCAATTTTAATCTTTCAGCGGCATCTACTATGCAGTTTTAGCCACTAATGCTGGTAAACAAGGTAAAATGTAGGGCAAAGAACTCATAAAATCATAGCCCGTCTCTCGAGTTTCCATTTAACACGTAACACCGTCCAGCCTATCTATCCCATTGCCATTGGAATTATCAAAGAAAATGAAGTGCATTGTAGCCTTGGTCAGGCTGCTTAAAATCCTCCAGTGTTAACCTAATCCATCAAGTTCCTCACTCATGTTTCATGCGAATCAAACAGAAGGACAGTGACTTGAACATTCAAACCCTCAACTCCAAGTAAAGTCATCAAAATCACACAAACGTTCCTCACAAAATGCATAGAGACAGCACCGCCACACAAAGATTCTCAGCCCATAGACCGTAAACGCCATTCCCATGTCAAATTGCAGCGCAATCGGTCGTCAAAGCGAAGCTCGACGTCGCTTACGACTACGAGATTCGTCACCATCAAGAGAGCGAGGGCCAACAGGTGAGGTCAACTCGTCATCGTCCATCTCGGTGTCAGTTCCGGTGCTTTCAAGCTCATTCATGTGGAGACGAAGAAGAGCTTCGGCAGCCTTTACCTCACGGGTGAAGTGAGACGACAGCTCAGGACGTGCAGCTCGGGACTTCCGACTGGGGTACTTCTTAGTCTGGGATCCAGGACTTATAGAACCGTCCTTGCCAAACGAAGCTCCACCAACGGTCCTCTTGAGGGGGGTCCACGGTAGTCTTCATCGTTAGCATCGTCCATTTGCCAATCATCATCCGAGTCAGTTAGGTCATCGTAGTCACTTTGTAAGGCAGCAACGTCCGAAGTGGCGTTGGTGGGATCATCAAGACCACCAAGCTTGTCGGTTTCCATATGTCCATCCACAGAAGGACAGTTTGGAGTGGAATACATGTTGGACGAGCCATCACTCTCAGTGTCACTATCCTCGCTGGTACCCCCAGGGACATTCTCCGGGCGCATAGCATCTGAGATAGCACGGAGAATAGTGCGGGGCGACTCGACCTGCGAGCGAGGAATCACATTGGTGCTGCGCGGGGGGTTGATGGGGGTGAAGGTAGACATAGGCGACTGGCTCTTGGGCGACACGCAGTAAGGCTCTGTAGAGGAGTCCCGGGCACTGGGGTTACTCTCAGAATAGTGGGCGCGCGGGATCTTGAGCGGGGGCAGTGTCAGGGATGGGTCTTGTTGGCTCAGTAGTCCCATGCCATGGAGAAGGGTATGTGTTGAGGAGGGTGTGTTGGTTGCCGGGGGGCTACCTCCGGTGCTAGACTTCATCTCCAAAGAGCGATAGTAGTTGGAGGTGCTGGTGGCACGCTGCACGATTTCTGGGGGTATGACCATGCGGCCATGGGTTTTGCGGTCCGTTGGGGGGATACACATGGCTGGGAATTCGGTGCCAAAGAGTGGAGTTAGGGCGTATCGGATTCTCCAGCAGAAGGTCGCTGCCATAGCTTTGGCGGCTTCGTAGGGCATCCAGTATCCTATATGAAAAGTAAAAGTATTAGATATAGCTATCCAGGAATCTGTTGATATGAGAAGAGGGTATAAAGATCGCACCTTGAGCGGAAAGTGCTCCGCCGGTGATACTGTGGCAGATATCTCGGAGGCCGGGATTCTGGTTTAGCATCTTGGCTGGCGTGGTCTATAACAAGTTAGAAATCCCGAGGATATGGAAGAGCTGGTTCATGAACTTGCCTTGGAGTAGCCATTGCATTTGAAAAGGTGTGTAATCCGAACGATGCCGATATTGTAGTCCCACATAACATGCCATTCCTTTTCTTCGCCGGGTATCTGGAATGTGTATTGAAAGACTAGATGGAAGAGTCAGACATGAATATCAAAACATGTTGAAGGGCACATACCATGGAAACTGTCTCGGCCGGTCTTTTCTTGGAAGGTTTTCTTGTCGCTGGCATAAGGGATATGACGAGGGTAGTCGGCGATGTTACCCATGGGACGTAACGACAGCTCTCTGTGAGCCTTCTCCAGCTCCATGTCTCTTTCCTCGCAAGGAGGATAGCGGCACTCGCCCTGGATCTTGCCACGACGGAAAACTGGGGCGTCCTTGGCCATCTTCCGCTTCTCACGGGAGGCAGAGAAGGAAGGGTACGGAATTCGCCTTTCAGGCTGAGGATTCAGAAGGGATTTGATAGATAGCATTAAGAAGTTCAAGTGCTATCCTTGAAAGAAGGAAAAGTTGAAGAAGTACGAAGTCTCCGGGGGAAAAGAAGGAGCTTAATGTCTCTTAGAACAAAAGGTGCTTTCCAGAAGGATTAAGAGACAGAGAAGTCAAACCTGCAAGAACACAAAGTAAAGCAAGACAATCCAAGATCTTTGTTCGAAGGTTTGTTTCGCACAACTTTTCCTAGAGGTGAGTACATGTACAGGAGTTGTTTGTTGGCAAATACGGACAACTTTCGAGGAGACAGAGACGGACAGCGGTGAATAGAAGAACTCGGAAAGTGTCTGACACGAGGGAATGTAAAATGGGCTTCACCGATTCTTTGCCTCTCTCTCTCTTTTCATCTCCCTCATATCACATGGTTCCTTGAAGTCGGACGAGTCCACGGGCTGTTTGTCTCTTCCGCGTGGAAGTGAAAGTTCCAATGATCTTCGACTTTGGACTGATGATGCAGTGTGCATTGATTTCTATCGATGCCCCTGGAAGCAATTACAAGATACAGAATGCAGAATACAGATGGTTTGAGACCTGTGTCTCTCATCTCTCGAGGCATAACGTGTTTCACAATCACAACTGCGACTATCCAAACCTCTCACCCCGAAAGAGACCAGTGAAAGAAAAGCATGGCAACAACCGTTTCAGGGACCATGTAGATATCCTGGAATTCATTTGGAAACGCAGACAGTCACCGCTCCATGCAAGCAGCCCGTAGCGGCAATAGGTACGTACAAATGCCTGCTATAGTCCTACCAAGTTATGCTATCAGTACCCTGATATCCCGGGGTAGAGAGCTCAACCGTTGTCCCACCTTTCCAAGGTGCTTTTCTTCAGGATCCTATCGAAGAACCCATGTCAGATCGTCCTTGGCATCAGACTAGAGCCAGAGTACTACAGCAACCGGAGCATTAGGACACCAGTTTAATGGTCCAATAAGAGACTACATACCCCATGGTAGCTCGCCAGTATGAGCTTTAAAGAGGTCCTCAGACCCACGGCAAGCTGCAGGGCAGCTTACTCCTTGTATGACGGGAAGCTGCATTGCCTGGCGAGTCTGTGAAGTGCATCTGAGGAAAGCTGTGCTGCAAAGATAAACTTCTGACATCAAAGATTCTGGGAAAAGTGACAGGGATGTTCGCTTGGGTGCCACGCTTCCATGCCTATACAGTGTACCCTGTACAAGTCTATTCATTTGATAAATGGGGTAAGGCTGAATGATATGATATGGTCAAACGAATGGTGGTCCCATTAGGAAAAGACTAGAGTAGTTCTCTAATATCTATAGAATGCAGTTTCACACGGTACTTCTTCCTTTTTCTGCCTTTCCTATTTGAATATCCAATCTAAGACCCTTCGGGTACTCAACTAGACCGCTGATTGAAGTTTGAGGGCGTGCATATAACAGAGACATGGACTCTCCGGAGGCGTAAGAGACATAATAACGACTTCAAAGAACTTTCCATGCATCCTTCCATGCAGTAGTCCACACGTTGGTGGCTGTTGAAGCCCACATTTCCTGTCTTTATGTTTTGTTTTTCTCTGCTTGAACTGACTTAGACCATAAGTGTCACACTGACTGCTCCCAGTCCGTTTTGCAACCCGCTATTGTACCCACCTGCTAGTTAAGTGTAGTCTGCATCAGACTTCCAACAGGTACAAGGGATCCATCCACCAATCGGTGCCGGGCCGGGGCAGCATAACAGAGCACCGCAGAAAACGGTGCATATAGACACCGGCAGAACGCCATGTAATCTGGTCAGAGATTGCAAAGGTCGAGGACTGAGGTGTCAACTAGATGTCAACACAACTGGGCTAGTTTTCGAGGGGGGTGGGCTTAATTGCATTGGAGTCGGTCTGCGAAGAGTGCCAACAGCCGAGACCAATATGAGAGTCCAGAAACGAAGACTGATTTCCAATGTCTTAGACACTCTGGTGTTGGCTAAACATTCTTTATTAAACCCCCAAAGAGCGGTAAACCCGGACATACGTGTCCCCCATCTGCGACGCGTCTCGGGTCCCGGGCTTCTGGAAAAGGGGCAAGAAACCATGTCTCAATCGGGATGCTGCTGTTGGTGTTTAGGCCTTTTTCAAGCTATTTTTCCCCTTCATATTCATTTCCATAGTATAATCGAGCCTATTAGTAACATTGACTCTTTCAGGTTGCCCTTGGAGATGTTTTTCGTCTTTTCACATATTTATCAAGAAGTCGACATACTCATCGTTCAGATTAGAGCTGAATAGTCTTGATGTTGTAGTAAGGTCTCGATCTCAACAGTGGACAAGGAGTACAGAATACACGGAGTGTTTATACTCACATGAACCTGCAAGACTCGATACTAAATCCAAGTTTCAACTAGGCGAAAGACTGACTTCTATCACAAAAAGGTCCAGACCTTAACCCGTTGAACACAGAATACAAACCAGATCCGAACCCCCCACTTGATTCAGGAGGATGTTGAGATTCACAGAAGATACCCCTCACCCGCAGATATCAGATATTAGACAACACTGATCTGTACCACAGCCCTCGAATCCGGGGTATATGGGGTGTGAGAGGTGAAGAGGGAAACACAGTTCCGAGCACGACTGAACAAGGCAAGTCTTCGAGGGCGAGGGGAAGCACAATGAAAAAGGAAAACAAACCCGTCACAGGCTGGCCCGAATCGCGATGCGGCGAATAGGGAGCCGGGTCGGTGGACCGGGATGAAACTCCAACGGCTGCCTTGCACGGTTGGGTGATCAAGGCCACTTGCATGGAAATTGTGAGCAACTACCCAAGTGGGTTGGATCGAGGCTTTTTGTGCATTGAGATGGGAGTCATGACGCATGGTGGCAGTGTATGGACTAGATCTAGTTTCCTGGTGAGTAGTGAGTAGTGAGTAGTGAGTAGTACGTATACAATAAATTTCTTGATAGTTGCCTAGAAAGTGGTCGAGGTCCCTGCGCGAGGCTCGAGGACGAGCACACGGTAGTGATGTCTTGGGAATATATGAAAAGTCAAGTAAAGATCATGAATTTATGTAAATGTGATTCCATTAGAAACAATATGAACCCAAGAAAGACATAGACAAGGGGTGTTTGGAGAAAAGAAGTCGACTAATAAAAATGTCCAGGGTGTTAGGGGTGAGATAAAATAACGAAAAGAGGGAAACAAGAGGCATGACAGCTCATTCATCGCTCAAGAATCCTTGATTTTTTTGTTCGCCGTCGACACGAGGATGTGGCGATCAGAGCTCATGAATTCCCAAGGGATCCCCAACAAGAACAGGTGACTCAAACCCTGATCTCACGTGCCATTCGGCATATCCAGCAATAGTCATGGCCAAAATAATGATATCCATTCAAAATATTTGATTGACGCTCAAATTTGAGCCCAATTAATATTCCCGGTTAAGATGACCTAGTATCATTGGGACCTGTTCAAATAGCCAGAAGAGGCTCACGGTCACCAGCCTGCTCGGCCGGCTCCACAGACGCAACAATGTCAGACTCGAGAGCCTGGGCGACAGGAGCGGCGGTGGGAGCTTCGGGGAAGTCCTCGTGCTTAACGACGGGCTCGACAACAGGGGCAGTGAACTCGGCAACGGGCTCGGTCTTGACGGGCTCGACAACGGTCTCACGCTTGATGGGGCTCACAAGCTTGGTCGCCTCTGGGGAGGCAGAGCGGCGGGAGCCGATGTAACCCTGAGCCTTGGAGCTGTACTCGCCAACATACTGCTTCATCAAGCCGGTGGCGTGCGAGGTACGCTCGCCAGCCATATCCCGAAGCTGGTTGGTCTGGGAGTGGATGATCTCCTGGGCGTTGGCAATCTGCTCGTCAATGAGCTCGCGGTTGCTGATGTAGATAAGGGGGGCAAAGTATGTGGTGGTCACGGCAATCACAGCCAAGCCCCAGAAGGGAACGAAGCGGATCAGCCAGTAGCCGGTGAAAGCAGCAGCGAAAGCCTGACAATCTATTAGTCTCTGCAATTTTGGTTCGTCTTCGTTCTTGACATGTTGCAACCTACCGCAATAGTGTGGAGGACATTCTCAGCAAACAGGATGCGCTGGAATTCGATCAGGAAGAAGTCCACAAGCTGCTCAAGGTCCTCGAGAACAGCCTCAACGGTCTCCTTGGGGACAGTGTAGTAACGGCGGGGGCGGAATCCACTGGCGATTCCCCGCTTGAGAATAACATGGCCAGCAACTTCAACTGAGGCAGTCACTGTACACAATTGTTAACCGACCACTCTGGTGACCGTAGGTCACGCGACCAACTCACATCCCAACGACATGTACAGGAACTTGAAGGCCCAGCGGAGGAGAGGCAGATAACGGGCGGCGAAGATGAAACAGATCACGCTGGCGTAGGAAACGGCGGTCGCACGGGGTTGTTCCCACTATATACACAGAGAGAGATTAGCAAGCTATCCAAACTGAAGACTCGGGCGACAACTCACGCTCAGAAGGCTGTACACCAAAGAATGGTAGGCTAGACACTCGTTAATATCCCGCTACCCAATATCAATCCAGTACTTATGACATACGGGTCAATGGTTGACCATCGGCGGTGGTGGTTGACGGGGTCACACGCGAGTTTTTCAGATCGCGAAGCTCATCGCTGGTGCGGGATGCTTCGGACTTCACATTATCGACAATCGGGCCTGCCAAAAAACTGGTCAGCCTACTGTGGTGGCTTCGGAGACTTCCGGATTCCTATTTACCCTTGGTAATAACATCGCTGATGCCTGAGCGCAGGAGGGGTCAAGGTCAGTCTCCTATAGCCACGGAATCTAGGAAAAAGAAAAGAGTATAATACTGCAAGATTATTGGGTTAGCATCTTCATTCTGCAGAATTGATGTGCCCTGATGATCCTCTTACCTTACTGCCCGTGTTAGGGTAGGTCACGTCACCAGAAGCCATAACGGTGGTATTTGTGAGGAGCACTTCAGGGGAAATTTTTGAGAAGGGAAATTAGAAAATTCGTAAGAAGCGTATCAACTGAATCAGGGCGTGAACTGAAAAGAAATTAAAGGGGAGGTTAAGGGGGAAGAGAAGGAAAAAGAAGGAGAGCACAGAAAAAGATAAGGGAAGATTTGACCAAGGTTGTTGTGATGCTGTCATGTGCGTTGCCAAGCCCGAAACAGCTATGGACCGGATTGTGTCTTCATAGCTCTGATGGATGACGAATGTACGATTTAAATCCTGATTTGATGTTGACTTTTTATCTTGGTTCTACGGGGAAATATTTTATATTAGAAATTTACATTAGAAATACTCAATAATATCGTGATTCCAGTCTATTGCACTTTAGAAGTACATCGAACTACATCTAACTAACTATATGGCTATACTCCTTAAAACTTCATCAGGCCACCTTTCAGAGACCATTACGTTCTAGCCTTGAACTATGTGCTTTCTCTATGACATACATAGGGACTAATTATAGCGTTCACCTACGCGAAGCTAGATATGTACTCCGCATAATGTCCATCGATGTGCAATATAGTTATGACTTCATACACTTTATACAACCAATCATAAATGACTACTCTACCTAACTCTACCTAACTCTATCTAACTATAAGCTCTTCTTGACTATATACTACAGTCGCTACAAAAGATATAGTCTATCCTAATTAGCTATATCCGTTATATGAACTTTTGAGATTAACCTCTTAATCTATACAAATCTCTATAAGCCATTTCTAATGATGGTTGGAGTATTCCAGTTCGCGGATTTTTGTCATGGAATAACCGCTTTTTTTCGTCGCTACGGGTGGACCACATCTTGTGTCTATGTATTCCCGGCGCGGTGATAAAGACATCTGATGTATGGGATGATACGCATAGTAGCAGTAACCAAACATAGAAGATTGGAGGGAGTTGACAAATAGTAGAAACACTTGGCCACCGTCCTTATTATATTGGAGGAGAGGATATAATGTGCAAACTATCCCCCAATATGGTTTGTCTAGATGATGGGAAAGTTGGGTATTCTTTCTAAAGTCGATCAATAACTCTAACTCGAAAAGTCCTAGAGGAGCGCACGATAAGAGCAGGGATGTGTGCTTTGGGGTTACATCAAGCCACTACGTCCTTTTATATTGGCCTGTCTTCTCTCTATCTATGCTGAAGCTAGTCCCAATCTGCTGTCCTAGGGATATAATCCCTGTCGCCATTAAATCCGAACTCATTTAAGAAAGCCCGACAGCCCCCGAATTCCCCGAGTTTTAGACCGTCTTTTCTCTTCTAGTCTACAGTCTCTGCCTCCACGTGAAAATTCTCGTCAACTAAATCGAACCTGTCCTTGCCATCGAACAAAATCTACATTCAAAAATGTCGGGCCCTGAGTCCGGTGTGCACGGCTCTGCGGATACCACCGCAGAGCTTAACCTACAGCCACGGTTGGTGATAGCCCCCCCAAGCTCGTAATTCGGGCGATGATATTGATGCCTGTGCCTATCTTTCTTTGCCGAAAATAGAACAGAATATAGGTCTTTCTTCTGAGCTCCAAGACCATGTGACTCTCCATCCAAATCGTAGTATACCTACCCCCGCGGATAACGATGATGGTCGCGTGGCCACCGAAGACGAAGTGCGCGATCTCCTTCATGTCGTTGACAAAGTTCCGGTTCGGCTCTGGGTAGCATGCCTCGCGGGTATTCTGGAACGCTTTGTCTGGTACGGGGCAACCGCTCCTATACGTGCGTGGAACCTCCCCATTTACAACGTTGTTCGACTGACTGTACATACAGAAAATTACCTGCAAAATGCACCTGGTGGTGTGGTTCCGGGAGCACTGGGCTTGCATCAGGCTACTGCATCGAACATCGTCAATGCAATAATCATCGGGTCATATATCATGCCTGTGCCTGCTGCCGTTGTTACCGATAGCTGGCTGGGTCGCTACAAAACCATGCTATACGCTGCTATGTACTGTGAAGTTTTATTTTTTTATATTTACCCCTACGCAACCAGTCTTTTTGATGGCTAATACTATAACAGCATTGAAGCCATCGGGGCAACTATTCTTTTTGCCACGTCCCTACCCGTCGCGATTCATGAGGGGGCTGCTTTGGCCGGAGTAATAACTGCCTGTATACTCCTGGCCGTTGGATCAGGCGCATTCAAGACTGCGGTAGTACCATTTATTGGTGAGTCGATTTCTTATACTTGGGTATACCAGTTTGAAGGCTGACACCATTTAGCCGACCAATATGACGAGACCGAGTTTCGAATCAAGACTCAGAAGGGGGGAAAGAGAGTTGTCACCAGCCGAGAGTTGACCATGACTTATATCTATAACGTCTTTTACTGGTGAGTAGATTGGTCTCTTTCTTTTGGCATTATAACTAACTTTAAAAACAGGGCTATTAACGTGGTGTGTTTTGTGGCTGATGCCACACCGTTGTTGGAACGGTATGTTGGTTTTTGGCTCGCTTACTTGGTTCCATGCTGCGCCATGTGGTTGTCCCTGATCCCGATACTACTCGGCCACAGGCACTTTAGTGAGTGCACTTACTAGCACAGCAATGAATTTACTAACTAACATGTGAATAAAACAGTCCGGCATTCGCCCACAAGTAACATTATGCCTCAGATATGCGCTGCCTTGGGATATGGGATTACCGGTGGCTTCAAAATGGATACCGCAAAGCCAGATGCCCAGCTTCATCAGCACGGTCGACAAGTCCCCTGGGCAGACTCATTTATTGAAGAAATTAAGAGGAGTCTGCTGACCTGCCGAGTATTGTAAGTTAACACCCTTTCTAGTATGCCACCAAAGCTAACATATATCTAGGATTCTGTTCCCTATTCACTGGCTTTGCTATAACCAGATATTCAGCAACTTGATCTCTCAAGCTGGGCAGATGGTCACGTACGGTATTCCGAACGACATGATGAAGATTGCTGGGCCAATCTCGGGGATCATCATTGCGCCTATCGTGCAAAAAGGGCTCTATCCTTACGTTACAAAGCGACGAATCTCATTTGGACCGATTGCACGGATGACAGTCGGATTCATCTTTTTGACTCTCTCCATGGTTTACACCACAGTGATTCAGATGATCATCTATCAGGCCGGGCCATGCTACGATGCACCACTCTCATGTGCTGCTTCCAATGGTGGCACTATCCCCAACCAGGTTTCGGTCTTTCTCCAAGTTCCGACGTACTTTGGTGGAGGATTGGCGGAGGTGTTTTGCCTTACCACGGGAACCGAGTATGCTTATAACCACGCGCCTAAGAGTATGAAGACCCTGGTCCAAGCAATCTGGCTCGCTATGGCTGGGGTCGGAACCTGTCTTGCCCTGGCCTTCACTCCGCTCACCAAGGACCCCCATCTGGTCACGATGTATGCCATTCTGACGGGGCTTTTGGGTGGAGCGACCGTTCTGCTGTGGGTTCTCTTCCGAAGCTTGGACAAGTCGAAGATCATGGAGGATGTTGAATAGTGGAAGCCGTTACTTTGGCTATATATGAGAATTCATTATGTCACTGGTGGACAGTATCAAGAGGAAGGGCACTCCGAAATGGACTGCGCCATATGTGGAGGAATCGAGGGACTTTTCGGGCATTGCAATGATAATTTGGCTTTTGAAGAGAATGAATTTCTTCAGTGCTTGAAATTCATTTAAAATCCAGGCAATTCGAACAAATTAACGCATGTGAATCATCGTTATTAATTCCCATTTCTCTTCCACGCATGTATACGTAGTTATAAAGGGCATACATTATCCTGCCCAGGTGTATGCAAGGATATAAATATTCGTGTATATAAGCTTTGAGCAGTAATCTCTTAATTCTTAATCTATCTTGTTTTGATATTAGGCATAAATCCTTCACCATATTTCTGATGATATGGTTGGCCAAACCCCGCTAATATCGCAGGCAGCATCGCTTCAGCCTCATCGGGGTTCGGTCATATTTATAGACGGGAATTCCTCTTTTGTTTTCCATTCTTAATCCTTCAAAACAAATTTCTTACTCAAAATGACGGAGCCAAATCTTTCTCCCGCTTGTTTTACAAAGTATAGCGAGCAGACCCAAAGCAACATATTCTCACTCCTCCCTCCAGAGATTCGCTATGAGATCTTCGTCTACGCTTTGACAAGTTCTCCGGACACCACACAACCACCTGGACAAGATGGTTATTGCACGCGGCCAGGGTATGAGACCCGCCACCAGACCTACACAGAACTGCTCCGAACTTGCAAAAAAAGTCTACATGGAAGCATGGTTTATGCCCTTCATCTGTTCGGAGCATGCATTCTGGATGGCGTCCTGGGACCGCACTCCCGAGCGAATGATTACAGTTGAGCAAATGCAGCAAGGCCTAGATCTGATTTATGATCGACATGGAGAAGTACAAGGCGGCCGGATTCGAGTGTTTCCCCAGCTATGGAAGCTCGAGAGCACCAGAGATTTCGATGGGATATTCACGATGCATCATTTTTATCCGAAGTCTGTCACATATCACTATCCGATACACCGACACCTGGATGTGGGAACATAACGAGGAATTGCATATCGAAGGGGCCTGGGGCAAATGGCTAGTGCTGCCCTCGAGCGTCACCAGGTTTTGTATCGACATCGAAAGCATCGAGCGACGCAAAGATGAAGTGGATTACATTGCGGGCGAAATGGCCGACCAATGGCGATTCCAGCGAGCCGATGGCACCAACATGCTCGCAGCCAAGGCTGATACCTCCGTATCTAGATGGACGAGGAGTTCCATGCTTGGCGGACGGCGCTGGGTGCGTGATGAGGTGGCGCCTGGTCAGCTTCAGTACTATTTTGCAACTGTAATGTGGCGGCCGTCGCCGGAGCCCTTGGATGATCGCCAGCGTTTGAATCCCCCTCTCCGAGTCAATTGGAGCCGCCCATTACCTCGGGATGTGGGCTGGAGCTATATCAAGGGATCATATTTGGAGGGTGCTGGAATATCCATGGCAGTTCCTGCTGAGCAAGTGGTTGCTGAATGCATTGCTAGTGGGTATGCATTTTATAGTAGTGATGAGGAACCGGACTATGATGGATTTGTAAATGGGTATGACTATGACTTCGACGAGGACTCTGAAGATAGTGAAGATTCTTAAGAGATATAATGTGTTTCTTTTTTAAGAAATAAAACAAACAAAGAATCACGTGACCCACGCGTTGCCATCGACCCGATTAGGTCTGTTTTGATTCTCGACATCTCCATTCCCCGACAACTCAGCGCGACCCACAACCCACAATCTCCATGATTGTGCATTTACAGTTTACAACCCTCTCCATACGCCATTAATTGCTCGTTCTATTTCCTCCATTTTCTCCAACGGCGCATTGTCTAGATCATGGCGGCAAGCGCGAGGGCGCAGAAGCCCGTCGGCTCAGCGCCATGGATTGCAGCAGAGAAGGAAAACATGGCCGAGCTAGTGGAGCAAGAAATGGAAGAAGTGGAATATCCTGTCCGACATGAAATGGACTGGTTAAATGAACATATGACCGAGATCTTCTCCAAGGGCCAGGCGTGAGTTGCGACCGCACTCTATGAACTATGTCTGTCCAGTCTAACAATCACACAGGAACTTCGCGGACGTGTTCAAGACGCCCGGAAAGATGAGAGGCAAGACGCCTCGAACTGCTCGGAAGCGTGTCCCCGAAGAGTCTCGAGTGGTGAGTATTCTCTATATCGAATTAGTTTCAACGGTCCTCATCTAATGCCCCTTGCAGCCCTTGAGCGAAATCTTCTCATCCGCCCAGAAACAGTTGGAAAACCAAGCAAGCCCGAGCCCATTCATTCATCGTGTTGTTTCTAAACCCGCTCCCGTGGCGGCATCACCTGTGCCCCGCACCAAGATCGCGACAGAGCCAGCTTCGCAACCCGAATACCCCGATCTCACCCAAAATCTGAACTCCTTCCCAACATATAACACCGACTCGGGCTATCATGGCATGCCCGATGATGATGAAATGGTACTGCCTGACGTGCAACAAGAATCACAGGCTTCTACTCAGCCTTCGACCCAACCTTTGGACCAGGACGATCCCATGAAGCTGGATACTCAAGAGGTCGATATTTCCGCTAGTCAGCAAACAAATGAAGAATCCTTCCATTCTGCGCGGGAAGAGATCCGCTCCCGCGGAGAGACCGTCGAGCCGAACAAGGACCCAACCCCAACCCAGGAGCGAACAGCATGTCTGGGTACATCGGTTTCCAAAGAATCTGAACTCGAAATCATGTCGACTCCGACTAAGAAAACAAGATCAAAGCCAAATGTCGAAATTTCGGAAAAGCGACAGAATGAGGAACCTAAACCAAAGGGGAGTAATCCAGTTGTCTCCCAACCAGAGCCGTCTCCAGAAAAGGCCCCGGTAGCCCCAGTATCCCCAGTAGCTCCACCTATCGAGACACAAGAATCTCACCCAGATGACGAGGATATGGAAGATGCCACGAAAGACGACACAATTCTCGACAATCTTGATGATATCGGATCTCCTTCGGATGGTTCTACTCCAGAGCGACCATTCGCTCGCAAAAGCAGCTTGAGCTTTGCCACCCTTCCTGCACGGGAACCTTTGAAGACCCGGACAAGCCATATTGACCTAGCTAAAATGAGTACTGCTGGGCGTCCCAGTTACTTTGGCAGGCAGACTGGCGGCCATAGAATTCCACAAGCTGCGACAGAGGATAATGTCGGTTCCAGAGCGTTGGAAATTGACAACGAGAAAGAGCCAAGTGAAGAAGCGGATCCTGACCAGGCTACTAGGATGCACAGCAAAAAGTCTACACAGTCACTACATGATAGAATCAGCATGCTAGGCAAACTCCAGCCATCCCGACCCAGAAAGTCAATCCCGTCCGCTTCTGGGCTACCGGTTGGTCAGGTTCCCTACCCAGACCTTCCAGCTTCCAAGGCTGAAGCAAAGTCTGAAGCTTCCAGCGAAAGGGTACATGAGGCCCCAGCTCCAGAGCCCATGTCGGTGGACGATGACTGGATCAAGCCTCTGAGCTCTCCCCAAAAGCCCGAGCTTTCCAAGAGCAAGACCACGGATGTCATGGAGAAGCTTGCTGAATTCGAAAAGGCTCGTGCAGTCAATAAGAAAGATGCATTGCAGACAGAGCCCGAACGTCCCAAATCATCTACCTCCATGTTCTCTTCACCTCGACCCCAAGGTCACCAACAAAGCGCTTCTTTCTCGCATGGTGGCGCCGATGCTTCTACTACTCCCACAGGCTCGCCAAGGCGCTTCGACGGCCACATCAGTGCTTCGAAGCTGAAACTGCACTCCATTATGAAATCCGCCAAAGGCTTATTCTCAAGCACTGGCAACACACCACGGATGGAACACTCGCCTGAGCAGGCCCGCATTCAGCCAAGTACTGACATATTAACTAAACATGCCAAGCATCTATCCCAACCAGTCCCTATCACCAGTCCTCAGCGTCCAGAAGGCCGCCGGACACGAAGCTCGACAGAGAAAGAAGAGAAACGGCGCCAGCATGAACGGGAAGAGCAGGAGCGTGAGGATCAAGAAGAAGAGCGTGTCGAGAGAGCTCGAGAACAAGAAAAGCAAAGAATCCTTCAGCTCAAAGCCGCACAGGATAATTCCTCGGTCGAGCCAGAAGAGAGGGCAGGCTCAGCAGTACACAAGACCTCCCAGTCACAGCGCCAACAATCGCGCGAACCTGAATCAGCTCAGGAGTCTAGCTCGAGATTTGCCATTCCTCAACCGAAGCAAAATGATCGCCGTCCTCTCAAACCCACTCGCGAGCCCATGAAACGTCCCACGCCTCAACCCATGTCAATTCGTGTTGGTAGCACCATGTCCCGTCAACAAATCCCTGTTCCATCGTCTTCAGGCGCTCAGGAGTCAGTTGTGTCCGCAGGCCCCTCTGCCCCTACCTCAAAGCCAACTTTGAAAAAGAAGGGTAGCAATACATCCTTACATACATCATCTTCTGCAAGCAGCTTTAAAAGCTCTGTTTCCAGCCAAACGCAAGCCCAGCGCAAGGCTCAGGTCGCCAGCGACCGCAAGAAGGAGCAAGAACGCGAGGCACGCCGGAAGGAAGAACAAAAGCGTGACCTAGAACGCAAGCGCGCTGCCCAGCAGCAGCAACAGGAAGAGGCCCGTCGGCAGGAGATGAGGAGTCGTGCTGAGGCTGAACGGGAGCGCCAGGCTGAGAGAGAGCGCCAAGCTGAGAGAGAGCGCCAGGCCGAAAGAGAGCGTCAGGCTGAACGGGAGCGCCGCGAACGATCAGCTCAGGAAGATCCGAACAAAGCCGCCCGTATGGAGGCAATTAAAAAGCGACAAGCAGAGAATGCTCGGAAGCATGGGAGGCAGGGCAGCCAGCAGATAGTCAACGAGGTACGCGCGTTGTTTCAATCTGGAGTTTTTCATACCGCTAACAATCTCAAGGGGCCAATTATACAGCACGAGCCGTCTTATTCTCAGTCTTCTCAGCGAAGTGACCTGGGTGGTTCTCGCCCTGCTTCTCGCTTGGGAAGCTCAATTCAGCCATTCGGTGGCCGCGGCATAAATCCACCTGCGCCTAACCCTGCCAAACCGCCAAAGAGAGGCAACGATGAAACCAGCCACCGGCCTGCGCCGTCTAAACCTAGTAACGTGCAATCAACTGGCGAGTTCAAACGGCGAAAGACAGAGGATGAGCACAACCCTATGCCGCCTGTGCGCACAATGGCGCAGCCTATCCGTCAATCGAGTATCAGAAAGGTTAGTACCATCGGGTCCCCTGTAATATCCTGGCGAGCAAATTATTGACTTCTGAAATCTATAAAGCCTTCTACCCTTGGCCGTGGACAGTCTTCCTTGGCACCTCAGTCGGCCTCTTCCAATTACCGAAATGCCCAACCTCAGCGACCCGCTCATCCGATAGTCACATACACGAACGGCAAGATACCGTTTGCTGAACCAAATCACGCGCCTCCTCCACCAAGCGCACACAAGCCTGCACCCAGCTCCGCCCAGCGCCCACTAGCCAAACCGTCTCCCAAGTACCCCAGTGGTGAAAGCATTCACTTACCAGAGATCAACACCGATAGTGAGGACGATGATGATTCCGACTCCGAGATGTTCCCTGTTCCCAAATGGGCACAGCCGAAGGAGCTGGAGGGTCTTCTCCGGCAGCAGGATGGGATGGAAGTTGACTCGATCTTCGGGCCAATCGCACCATTCTCTCTTGAGGATACTTTCAAGGCGGATAAGAAAGTCAAGAAATACCGTGAACGCACCAGCAGTGCGAACTGGTCCGGACCCGATGGACTTACTCAAGAGGAGATTCGAAGGGATGTTGCCGAACGACAGCGGTTGCGGCTCAATGGTGGTTGGAGCTTCAACAGCTAGTGATCAGCATGATAGTGTGAAGTTTTCTTTCTTGGATTGTAAATTGGTCTGTACATTGAACAGCGGCGGCCATCTTTTGGGAGTATGGATTTGGTGGACATGGTTATGTTGGTGTTATGGGTGTATCATCTACCCGATGGCGTTGTCTTCTATTATTCTTGTGATAATTTTTGTTTATGGTCTTAGACAACAACTGCATGGTTGCATCCATCGGTGCATGGGGTTAATAAATTATCATTTTGGCCTTGAATGTTCATATTTTGGCATTGTGTTGGAGTTCATACGAATGGATACACCTGTGGTTAGGTTGTCCGAATTAGGGCTACAAATAAATTTAGGCTCATATAGCACTAAAGCGAAACACCATACATCGAACTAGCATCATTGGTCTAGTGGTAGAATTCGTCGTTGCCATCGACGAGGCCCGTGTTCGATTCACGGATGATGCACAATAATTTCTTTTTTCTTTTTTTTGGTTTTTGCTCTTGTCAATTTTGAGCTCTATACCTTTTAAATCTATATTATTATTTACTTGTGTTTTGCTTTTCAATTCATGATTTGCCTTATATTGGCGGTTTTTATGTGGTTGTATTCTTTCGTCATATACCCACCTTAGTATATATATATAATATAGACCATTTCATTACTTCCACCAAATTTATTACCCGATAGTTATTGACAGCATTAGCAAAGCCAAAACTAAAGAAAGGAACGAGTAAATGGTGCTTTATTGCCCATAGAGTTCCCA